TGTAACCACATAAAAAGCTACATGTCGCTACAAGGTCACGAGCATAAAATAATTTACGAAATTTCTGAGTAACAGCTTCTCATTTAGCTAAGGAAAATACTGGGCAGTCACAGGTATTTTTGAAATTTTATGATGAATAGCCTTCGCTCACTCACTCTGAGGTGCAGGACATTTTTTAAAAGTCAATTTCATATTAGGCTTTTCAAAAATTAACCCTCTTTCTTTACAGAACACGAAGGTTCATCGCCGTGTTCACAAAATATCGCCACCGGACTCTGTCCTGAGCTAGCTGCATTCAGTTTTTTCCAAGGATTCCTATCTCCGTAAGATCTATCTTAAAGTTATCTTCCCACCTACGTCTAGGTCTTCCCAGCGATCTCCTCCCTTCAGGGCTTCCAACCAATACCCTTAAATAGACCACCCCTCCCCCATGCGTGCCGCATGTCCCGCCCATCTCATCCTCCTCGATTTAATCAGCCTAGCAATATCAGGTGGGAAAATTACACTTTTCAATATTTTATTATTTAGTTTTTTGATATGACATGGGAAGACAAAATATATTGGACTGAAATGTAGCAAGCATTCCTTGAATTTAATATGATCTTAATTTCGTCATGAGTGTTAGTTTGAATTGTTAACGTCGTCCCCAAGTACTTGAATTTTGTCACATTTTCGAACGATTCATTAGCTGTCCTTTTTTTCCGGTTCCGTCATGAATTATGATGCCGAAACATGATCATATTCTTTGTCTTTCCTGCATTTATTTCTAGACCAACATTCAAAAGCAGCGTCGATAGATCATCTCCCTGTTTCAGGCCATTCTGAATAATAAATATATTGGACAAATGGTTAATTAAACGAATTTTGCTATAGGTTTCACTTATACATGATTAATTAGCCTGACTAGCGTCTAAGGCACACCAAATTCAAGTAAAATACTGTAACGAGCAGGATAAGTAGCCTTACAGGTGATGTTTCAGGTTTTCACGTGGACAAGTATGAAGATGATTGTGTTCTGGAATTTTGCGCCGTGTAGTCTGGAATGTTTTATATTTTCCTCTGAAAAATGCTTTGTATTTTAAAATCCCACAGCTCATTCGGTGCAGTTAATGCAGGTCGTAAATACAGTTGTTCGGAATGCGTTAATACTCCGGTTCTGTCAGCATTGTGTACAAATCCGAAAGTAGGCGGATTTTTTCTGGAATTTTATCTCCCACTCTTGTTGTCTGCTGTTATGACAAAAAACTGCGGTCTGTACTAATATTCCTGACATGGGTTTCATAATTAAAAATTCTGCGGTTGCAATTTTATAAAATATCACTTGCAGACTAGCTTTATACCAGTCTAAAAGCTGGAAGCTTTGTTGCGGTATCTGATTGCACTGTAACATTTTAAATTCTTGCCTTGCTATTAGCTTTGTATAATTAGTAAAATGATATTTAGGACTTTTTTCTTCGTCCGTATGTCATTGATATTACAACGTTTCGGAAGCTGGAACTCCTTCCGTCTTCAGATCAGAAAGAGGACAAAAACATTAGCTCCTGCCCCCTTGATTGAGCTAGTCTCAGACAACCATCTTCAGAAACCTTCAGATTTCACGTGTGTGATTAATGTAGAATCATTGTGTGTGGTGAGGTCTACGACTTCACTTACATAAATTCGTCTTTTCCACTCTTTATAGAAAGTTGCATAAACCTAAAATTATTTATATTAACGTTTTTTTATTTTAGAATTGCTTATGAGAAATTTGATTATGTAGTCATTTTATGTGGGCCATGTCATAACCAGTGTGAAACTGTTTTTCATGTTGGCGTAAGAATAAGACCAAAAACAGAAGAAAAAATCAATTATTGCCTATGCAGTTGAGATATTCTGTTTCATGGAAAGTATTATGTAAATAAAGGCTACGCAGGATAGGAAGTGACTCATTTACAGCGTCTTTGAGTATTAATATCCTTTCTTGTCATAACAGCAACACAATATTTTCCTATAATTTGTTACACGCCAAATCATATGACCCAAGATTACGTATCGTTAGTGTTGCTTTCACCCAAGAAGTTCACAGAGCTGTTATGTTGGTATTATCGATGCCATCAGAATTAAAATATACAGAGTCATGAGAGTCTGTAATGGCCTTATATTAATTGACAGTTTCGTAATTATTCTGTACGTTCAAAATTAGAACGAAAGTGATATTATAAGAAGTCTTTATAGGTACCAAACAAGAGGTAAAACTGAGTTCTAATTAAAATGTGTACTCAGTTATACAGATTAATTTATGCTCGCAGTGCTTTATGTAAAATTAATGTTCACATTAGTCAATTAGGTACGGCATATGAGGTTCGGTTAGTTGATACGCTCTTTATAAAGCTGACATAACAAAGCATTGCACAACAAAAATACAAAACACGATGTGAAACCATGATAGCATTCCGTGAAATTGTTGGTGCATTTAGCGAAAAGGCGCTTTGTTAAAATGTACTGCGGAGATGCCTGTGCGTTCAATAAGAAATAATTAGAATACGACCCTGCCAAATAGATGTTTACACAATTAGCTTCGTCTCCCACTAATTGGTCTTTCATACACCATTAAAATCACCGTAACCACAAACTTGTCCAGTTATAAAAACTGATCCCTCAAATTCCATGTGCTTCTAGCGTTTTTGAATTGAGCTCAGCAATAAAGAATATTTGAAATGAAGTTTCAAATAACGGGACGGCGTATTACTGTACCATACTATTTGCAGGTTACAGCGATAAAAACAAAGGGCTACACTTCTACGTGTGGGTTATCAAAATAGTGTTTTGTGTTTATCTCTAAATGTTGTTACCTCTTGGCAACCAGACAAACAATTCCAGGCGCACTGTCGATGTAAATATACGAGGGTTTGTTCAAGGTACGATTTGCAAATTACGTATGCTATGAACAGACGAGTCAAGTTATAATATTATTCGTTTGTTTGTCTGTTTGTTGTCTTGGAAGTGTGTGTAGCCAACACAGTTAAATAAACTACTACTTATTTCTGTTTTGTTTATTTTACCTTTGATTATAATTGAATTAGTAGGTGTTATTGACGTTCTAGTGCCAGCAAAGTTTATCTTGTGGGACCAAAAAATCTGTCGCGTTTTTCCTGCATGACAGGTTTATGTTGTGCTACAGTGGGAACTCTTGTTTCCCATTTCTGGACCACATTGTCGCACAATTATCTCCAGATTACATTAGTGGAGGAATGGCCTTAGGAGCAATGAGTTATCTCGAATCACTGCAAGAACGACTTTAAGAGAGACAATGACCTTGACCTACGCTTATGCAGGAATGACTTAAAGCGCAGGAGTGTTTCTATTTTTCTAGGCAAATAATTATTACTGATTGATAGATAGATGGATAAATATGCAGACAGACAGGTAAACAAAGAGACGCTTTCATACATAGGCAGGATGGTTGGTGGATAGGTGGAGAGTGAGGTAGATAATTAGGTTTTTTGGTAGATTATAGGCTTCAAGAGTTTATCCACATCCTACATAACTTATCGTTCGGAATAATAATTTGACGGAGTTACGAGCAATGCAGTTGAGAAATCGTCGTTAAATATACTAGGAAATGAATGAGATAATAAAATAATTTGCGTACCCCCAAGTTTCAAACATAGGTTTGGAAATTATTGGTCTGAGGCTGCTAGAATATTGAATATCTCTGCATAATTAACTGTAAACGTTGTATGAACTGCCGCTTGTCGCTAGCTGTCCACACTGTAGTTGACTTTGATGACTTGGTTTATCCTATACATGAAGTGAATAAAAGGACAGTGCCATCTCTCTGAAGTTTAGGTGAACTGTAAAATTAACTTTGTGTTATGATCTGAAGATCGTCACCATGTACAGTTCTGGGTATTAGACTGAAATGTGACACAAAGGAAACGTGCGCCCTGTGCCGAAATAAAAATTAAATTACGCAGAGTTGCAGACAACAAAATAAAACTAACGATATATACAGAGACATCTTGTCCGTACCGCGGCGACAGGGGAGCTCCAGGACGTCAGTATGAGTCAGAATGGTCCAGTGAACATAGGTTTGTAAATGTTTTTATGAAACGGTTATATAAGGTTATATTTCAGAAGCACACTCTCTTCCATGGGTGGTTCAGTTGGCATGATGTTCAAAGTTTGTTTTACATATAACATGTTTACAGTTTTTATTTCATCCTGTATAAACGATGCTGAATGCGGATGTTGAAGCAGTCAGTCCGTGAACAGCGTTCAAAGGGTCCCAAGCCGATTTCGAAATGGCAGTGGAGCACTCGTTCATTGAATACGCGACACGTACATTCTGCTAGGTGATCGCAACGGGAATTCCTCAGTGATAGTGAAGCGATATGCAGAAATGTACGAGGACCGTCGAGTTTCAGATCACTGAACTTTCGATTGTGTTGATCGGTGAATTCATGAAGCAGGGTCTGTGCCTGAAATAATGGTTGATACTTGTTGTCGAAGTAGCATACCCACGCCAGTCATTGGGGTTTTGATTAGTTGATATCTTCCTTCGTCTGTATTTGTAAGCATTAACATGTAAATATTCCTTTAATTACATAATTTAATACCCCATTGTGTCTGAATGAACTGGGTTGATGCAGCTCGCTCTGCAAGCAGAAGGGACGCTTTGTGCAAGAATCGCGTCTTTGACCGACGCCCAAGAAGGTCTAACTGGGATTTTGCCGCATATTGTCCATAACTATTGTGTGTATGTGTTTTAATTCATAGTTATGTGTGTTATATTGCAATATTCGGTGTGTAAATTTTCCAGAACACAGTTAGTTATGTGTGTTATATTGCAATATTCGATGTGTAAATTTTCCAGAACACAATCCATTACATTTCCAGTACTACCGCAGTCAGTCGGCGTGATAGCACCTCTTGCGCTACCTAGGAGGGGATATAATTTAAGTGAGTTGGAGTATCACATTGTTGTGTAACTAACATTACGCTATCCATACCACGTACAGCGGCTCAGGCACTTCTACCAGCCGACACAGATGGTCAAAGACTGTTTCATCAGTGTGCCAAGAATTTAGCCATCCTGAGAGGACTCGGAGTGACACAGCCTCACATCGGGCAGCATTGTGAATTTCCGCAATCGGCATAGATGGGCGGAAAACATTCCACATAGGATGAGTCGTGGAAAACAACAATCATCAGTTTCCCATAACCGTATGGTCGGGCGATCATCGCATTGGCCGTTGTCATCAGAACTTGCTGGGCCTCCTACCTACAGTTTCTCCGAAGACATTTATCTCAATTGTTGGAAGACGTTTCGTTGCTCGCACAGTGGGTGGGGTTTGTGCACGGCAGTGCTCCACCACACCTCGGTCTCTCTGTGCGAGATTGGTCTCGGACCTTGGATCACAAGTGGCCCCGAGGCTCCCGTTTCGTGGCCACCACGGTTACCAGGCCTTAATTCCGCAGATTTTTAGTAGAGGAGTTCGGTGAGAATTGCGGTTAACGCCAACACTATTGACACCGGAGATAAACTTTAGCAACGCATAGAGGGCACAGCAAACGAGATTCCTACCACATTTGGGGTGGCCGAACGCGTCTGAGCGCTCTGACGCATATATTCATACTAGCGAAGGACATTTCTAGGATTTGTTATAACATTGGCGATAAGGAAATCGTCCGTGAGCCAAAAATTTCACATTTCAGAGAATCTGGTACAATATATTGTTGAAATTATATCATCTGTACCTTGTATGGAAGGCTTTCCACGTTTTCATTGGACTTTCTTGACTCATGTTGACGTGTTGAAACACCCCTGCCATTTGTGGCAAGTAACTTAAAAACGCTCTGCACAAAAACATTTGTATTCTCAATTTCCTACATTTTTTCTTCGTTAGGGAAGCGTGTGCATTTTAATACATAAGAGTGATCTATTTCATATTTACTAGACTTTTCATCATGTATCATGTGTCTTTACGGCAGGAAAAAATGAAACGTATGTGACGTCACATGATTTTCACTCTAGACATTGAAGGTAATGATAATGCAGATTTTCTAACTTGAAGCACACAAATATTACATGAAATTTGTGAGGATACAGTTAACAGTTACTGATTATATTTTTTACTAAATATATTTGAGATACATGCATGCCATGAAACCATTTCAAATATTACAGGAGCTCGAAGGATGTCTTGGAATTTGAGTCTAGGGGAGGTGGTCAGAAATTGGCCGTAACAGAATAATAAAGCCATGTCAAAATTTGTTTGATTCAGCAACGAAGTGACAGAAACTGAGGAAACAAACTAAAAATGGTTCTTGTGTTCAAATTCTGTCGGGGATCAAACCCTGATCGTCCTTTCCGTAATTAGTCACTGCTAACTGTTATAAAAGTTTAGTTATAAAATGTAAGTCCTGTAAAATCAGAAACAAAAAGCAATGTTATATTAAGTGTTAGAAATGTCTTTCGGGTTCAGCGTTGCATGCATTCGAAATTTTTATCATGCCTGATGGTACCCAGTGACGTTTATGTACTCAGCTTAGTATTTTGTTTCAGTTACTCAAATGCGTGGGGGTAGTTTTTATACATGTTCTTCTTCAAAAACTCCCACAGGTAGATATTCGGTTGCGATTGATCGGGGAATCAAGTGGGCCACAGTCTTCGAGAAATAATGCTACCATCAAAGAACTCGCGTAAGTATATACACTGTTGAATTTGTATTGTTTGTAAAATTTCAAAAGAGGAATTAAATTCTTAATCTGTTTCTGGTAACTATTAGCCGCGATGTTTTCACTGAAGAAAATTGGACCACTTATTTTCCATGGAGAGACAGCTCAACATTCTTCGTCTTTTATGGAGTGTAACGACATTTCATGGAATGTATATGGGGATTTTAATCAGACCGTATTCTGCTGTTTTGGCTATTAACGTGCCCACTTCGGTGTTTGTCGATGAAGAAGCTTTATCTAAAATGTCTGCACTCCCTAGAATTAAGTGTGTAAATAATCTGTAGTATTGAAATAGCTTTTTATTATGTTCCCTCAGTTCTTGCATGACAAGTACACTGTATGGACGAAGTATTAAAACTTCTGTCTTCTTGTATCTTAAGTGCGTCATGTTTGTGTTGAATCAAATACATATATTTATTTTACAGTCTATACACAAACTTATTTAAAATAATGTTGTTAAAATATTATAACATTTACAGTATAAAGTATATTATGTTATATTTATGGCGCTCCTTTATCGTAGTACGACATTACATTATTCAGCGCTTTTATTTTTGTTTTTGGACGACATGTTTCGATGTTTTATGACATCATCTTCAGGTTTATCAATCTATATTATTTTAAAAACTATTATACATTTTGATGCATTGCATTTATTGATCTTTTAGTATGTTTGTAGAATTTTCCGTCTTCATAATGATCTG